GAATTATAGCTCCTCTGTAGTAGTACTATATAATAATAGCTACTTATTATTACTTATATCTCTATAGATATACCTTAAGAAGATTATTAATCATTAATTAATAAATATAATATTATACTTAATATATTACTAATATAATAGAGTAGTATATCTTAAGATCTAAGACCTTAGATTAAAAAGTTCTTCTACTACCTTATAAAGGTATTTTTAATATACACCTTTAAATATACTAATACTTTATGAGAATCTTATAGGCTAGAATAGCTATACCTAATATTAAAGTAACTATCTTCTTTATTATACCACCCTTCTATCTAATAAACTTATTAAGATAGTATATAAGATTATAGTATACTACTAAGCCTTTCTAAACTAGACTAAAACTTATAATCTTAAAACCTATTTAGACTTTATTATAAGCACTACCCTAATCTACTACTATAATAACTTATATTAGAAGAATTAGGTAGAATAAAAGATATCTTAGAGCTAATTAAGCTATAATATCTAGAAGCCTAGCTATACTTACTAAGAATCTTCTAGATAGTACTAAGATATTTCTATACTAAAATAAATAAAATTACTCCTACTAGAAGCTATACTAGAGCTATAACTATAGAGATATCTAAAGCCTACTAATTATAGTATAATATTTTAAAAGGGAAGGTACTTATAATAGCTAACTTCTAATTAATCTTTAGAGGAAAGTACTCTTTCTTTTAAATAAAATCTAGCTTTAAATCTAGCTCTAGTACTAGCACTAATATATTACTATCTATATCTAATCTAATCTAAGACTTTTTATATTATATTATTCCCCTATAGTTAAGACCTAGTAATTTAAAGAAGATAATACTACTTTAGATAAATTACTATTAGGTCTCAAGATATTATTTAACCTATATAAGATTATTAGACCTAGATAGATATTACTACCTAAGATAGTAGATACTACTATAGGACTATCTATATAATAGATATATACTATTAATATAGAGAAAGTTTAAGATATACTATTTTCTTCTATCTAACTCTAAGTATTGTAATAAATTATATAGTAGGCTATATAAATATCTATAGTATTACTAAATATACCTATAGTATATACTAGAATACTAGTTATTAACCTTACTACTATAGAGTATACTATCCTAATAATTATAATAAGTATAGTAATAATAAATAGTAGCTACTAATAGCTAGCTAATATTAGATACTTCCTAGATATACTATATTACTA